TGGTTGATGCTATGCTAGTTCTTTCTTTTCTGAGTTTGGGTTCTAATCCGTTTTGTATGAACAAAAACTGTGTTAGAATTCTGATTCCGAATGTTTGTTGAAATTTGACATGAGCTTTCCATTAATAATGCTCTCCCGTCCAGCGTCATGCATCATGTCGCGAAAAATGGGGGGGGGGGAAGCGGCACACCTCTTCTCCTTACCAGGACGGGAGACCTTACCAGCGAAGGTGAACAGGTCAGTCCGGCCATTTGCAGTGAGGTGGACATCGTTACACGCGCCCTGGGATTAGTGAACTTATAATTGCCTTTGGAATTTGCGAAACAGTTCTCTGAACGGAGTTATGGAAGTTTCCTTTACAGTTTTCCATTGGAGCACGCTGGCGCCGTAGTGCAGGCACTTGGTAGCGGGCGATGACCGCCTTCGCCCGAACACTTTGTGATATTGGTGTTCGGGAGATCAAACAATCCCATTAAAGACGCTCCAGCTAAGTCAGAGATTCTGACTTTAAAAAAAATGGGTTAGGGTTTGCTCGCTCTGAGTAGCAGCACCAGTGATGGTAGTTACTAGCCTATCACTAGACACTACCTTCAAGCTGTATTAATTCTTTACTCATGCTTTTCCACAAATAGCATGTGGGGATCGGGCTCACATGTTCGCATCATCTGCATCATTTTCCTTACTGTCGGAAGGAAATTACATACCAAGACCAGTCATGTTAGATGAGCAGAGGTCTCCTGTAGCTAAGCATGAAAAGCAACGCAAAGCAAGGTCAAAACCCAGGACTTTACTGGCATGTATTGAGGTACATTGAAGTTGCTTCAGTGGTTGCCGCAGCATCTTTACGCACGCAGGGGGAATTGGCTCTATGGTAGCACCAAATTTTCTCGACCAAGTTAGAATCGTGACCGGCACCAATAATTACCCTTGTTTACGAAGTCTCACCCCTTTCTGTCGCCAAGTAATCTCGCCATCGTCGTATCACCCTCGTGGTTCATTAGAAGATGGCCATTCTCGTCATTGGTACCAAAATGGAATTCTATGTCTTCGGTTTGGCGGTGACGAATTTTGGCATGTCGGTACAGATTCAACGTGACGCGTCTCCAGTCTCGCTAGCATCGTCGAATGAGCGGCTTTCACTACAGCGATGGCCTTCTTTAGCACTCGCTTCTCGGTACTTCCGCCAGTTGTCAGCCGATTTGTTCTCAAGGCACACCTGGTAAGGCCTTGCAAAGTCTTGATTAGACTTGACATTCACAGCCAGGCCATCACTCATCAATTTTAAGCCGCCAGGGCTTGGTTATGCCGAGTTGCGAGCGACCTGGATGGTCGATTCAGCGGCTTATTCCAGGTCTACGCGACAGTGGTGATCTTCGGTAATGGTATGCTAGGAATCACAGCTGTCTCCCGCTTCTTCGATTGCCACCCCTCGACCGCATCGCTGGTTCTTCTTCGACCTAGGAGCTATAAATTTCAGCTTGCAGACTGGCGCACAGTGTTGCGTGGCCACAGTCTCATACAGCACACTACTTAGCGTCTGTGACTGGAGTCCTTGATTGGCCATAACTGCGATAAAACACAAAGTTTATCGCTGTAGTCCTTTGGTCAGTGTTGCAACTAGTCAAGCGGGTCCGTGTTGAACAGGATAGGTCGTATTTCACGAATTTCGGTGTGCTTTCAGGCCTTGAAAACAACGAGATTGTCGAAACGTCAAGCGTAGTTAAAGATTCCACCACACAAACCTGTCAGGCATATGAAAGAAGCTCTGATCACAAAGTTTATTTGTGTCTTTGTACTCCCGCTGTAGAAGGTTATGAGATGGAAATTGCGTTCATGGAATTTGTTCAATGACAAGATTATGCATATCTGCATATTCGAGAACCCGCTTACTGTCAGCATTCCGTGATTCGTATTCAAATCCACCATGACAAGCGTAGCCGTCTTTCGCAGGCCCACGTGTCTATTCAAGTCTCCGCGACAATAATACCTTATTCTGGTGGTATTCCAGCTGTCTTTCCACTTAGCGAAGCCCAGAAGTCGTCCTTGGATTGCTTAGAGCATCCACTCTGCGGGGCATATGCAGACAATGCTATATGACAAGGCATATGTGGTATAGACTTTGTTCGACAGCGACAAAAGTTTCACTAAAGGTCACTACACTAGTGATCGAGTCACAGAAGGCGCCAGAGGAGCACGATAACATCTACACCATTTCTGGTGCTCCGCCTATCAAAGAGATGGCTTTAACGCCGCCACCAATTTCTTTCAACTTGCGACTGGCCTATCTCGTCTCTTACACTGCGCAGATGTGGATCCACCTACGCTCCAATGCTTTTGCCTGCTCATATGAGCGGCCCATCAACGCCTCAACATTCAGCGTTTGCAAAGCGCATTGCCTTGAAAACGTTGCTAGACTTTCGTACTAGCCTGGTTGCCCTCCCCCCCCTCTTCACCCGAGACGTCTTGCGAGTGCGCGTCGGCTCCCGTGGACGTCGTAGCACCATTTCGGAATTCATATGGCATGATTGAACATGGATGTTGTGACATGGGTGTTCGTAGGCCGGCTCGTCACGAAGGCCTGTCACTTGCCTTTGAATGTCTGTGTTCGGCTTAGCGCGCAAAAGCGAGCAGTTTCTAGTGGCTCTATGTGAAGGAACGGGCTTCACCACCTAAGCACTAGCGCTATAGTGTAGAATTACTTCGCATTAGTTTCCTGTGCATCAATTGTTCAAAATGATATTTTATAAGAATCTCTCTGAAATAGCAGAACAGGGGTTCATACTATGTTGTTGTATTGTGGAAGTTCCTGCTTTCAGGCGGTCGCTGAGCCGACTCCGTCTTGCACAAGTCCGAAGGTAAACGATAGACCCTGTGTGGAAATGTTCGAAGAAAAGCAGTTAATGGCGGTGCAGAGTATGTTAAGGTGAGACTAATAGTCAGATTTACTTGCTGCGCAAGGAATGAGGCCATCTTTCTTTTTTTCAATGAAATCGTGTTCTGCTCACACACTTTACCTTTTGACGATTCCTCTTGAATGTTAGTGCTGGGTGGATTTTCTACCTCAACAGCTAATCTCTATTTCCTGATTGTAGTTGTGGCCATCAAATTCTGCTCTGAGTATGGAAGGATCTCATCAGTAAGGCGGAGACTTTGAATTAAGTGGACCACTTCTAAGTGGCTCTTTCGGCAACAAAACTGCCGCCTTTGATGATTCTGGTTGCCTGGGCTGCACATGCTCCTCGAATATCACGGAGAAGTAGATCCGTCCAGCTTATCCGTTCCCGTCAATTTAGGATTGAGTCAATCTATTTGGCTTTATTGGCGAGACGAAATGGCCTCGTTGGAATTGCGACAGAATATAGTTCAGATCGGACAGGTAGTCTGATAGGTTGTGGTGAAGGGGTGATCTCGGTGGGAGATGTGGTAGTATCTATCTGGCGTACCTTTTAATTCGGGCGAGACCACGCGCTGAGCATCTAATGGAATAGCTACGGAATAGCATTTCTCAGCCATACTCTCCTCGTCATTACGGACTGTCGGGGCGTATCAGCCAGCCAGTAGGAGTGCACACTGTTTGAAGCCGTTCTCAGCCTTTTCGTTGAAACGCGTATGCGACAAAAAGTGGTAGAAAACGAGTAATACGAAGGATATAATGCTGTCATGTCATTTGCTCGCTTCAACAACTGGTGCAGAAAGACTTTGGCACCGCGGAAAACGCAGCCGCACTGACCCGCCCCGACAGTCCGTAATGATGAGGAGAGTATGTATGGGTTAAACGTATCGGTCAGGTGCTCATTAAAGGATGCACCGGCAGGTCCTGGTGGCAATTCAGAACATGTACAGAGTAGTACATGACAGTCGTTTACTGGAGTGGACTGCTCGATTGGTTCGTAGTATGGCGTGGATGGTAGGATAGAGTGCTGCCTGAATGAAGGCATGCCTCCCACTTCGGAGGAGGTCACGCTTTGAGTACTTAATGGTATACGTACGGGTCATAATTCTATGTCTCAATTATATCTATGGACTACAGTATCAGTCATAAGGGATTCACCTGTAGGGACTCATGAGGGATTCACCTGTAGGCTCTGCTGGCAAATCAGAGCAAGGGTATCGTACAGTCATCAACGAAGTCCGGCAATGCGTCACTTGTGCTTAGCAGGGTCCTTGGATGCGATCGCGCTGCAATTTCACTTCGACATTTCTTCTGCACTTTGGACGTGCGCTGTACAGTCTTTTTCGCACAGTGGTTCACCCTCAAGTGAAAGTCTATCAAGGACATTTTGGCTGGTGCTTCAGCATTCATCTTCATGAATAAGTCAGTTGGACCGTAGCTTTTCATTTTTTGAGCTTCATTAGTTACGGCGTTCAAATTTCAAAGCCGTTCGATCGGTTTGAGATCAGGGCACATCATTGGTTGGGGGTTTTAGTCGAGTCCGTACGACCCCCCCCCTCCGGCCCTCTGTCCCTTCTCATCGGGGGGGGGGGGTGAGCAGCACATGTGAAACAGGAGAAGCCGCAAGACAACCTTTCCCCCCCCCCTCCCTTCTACCGATTCTCAGATTTTCGAAACGAAAAGTCAACCACCACCCCTAGAAAGGCCAAAAAGTAAATACGACCCCTCCTTTACAACGTCCGTGAAGCGAGAAAAATCAACTATCAAAATAAATTTTTCTCAGCCCAAATACGACCCCCCTCTCCTGGCGGCCAAATACGACCCCCCCTGTTCGGAGATTCCCCAACAACGATGTGCCCTGTTTGAGATGCGGTGTTTTGCAGTTCACTTACAAGAGCGCTCCTCAACTATCACATGTGGGATAAGCTTATGAACAGCAACCTTGCTCGTCGTATATATTTCTCCTTGAAGTAGCATCTTTCAGCGCCTACCGTGATTAGTAAATAATCTAGTCTTTTAATTGCTGAGGATTTGAAGCTCGTGCTCTTGAGGATTTGGCGCCGGTCCTCACCAAGCTAGAACTTCGTGGGAACTATTGCGTTCTCGTATGGTCAAGGTAGGCCATATCCTTGTAGCTTCCTCCTTCTGTAAGGATTCCCGCTGTGATTAATCAGCATTAGAGGAGGCAGGGAGCCGAGAGGTTAAGAGTGTAGGCTCATGTCTGCACTCTAAGGCACGATCATTCCCTGCCAAGGCACAAACCGCCTTGAAATAACTGGAAAAATGGTGACGACATCAGTGCCACGCCCAGGACTAATAGGCAGGTATCGTCACTGATGGGAAACCTGTCACAAACCATGACAAGTCGCAAGCAGTATCAGTGTTAATGCTAGGACGTCACCCGGAAGTGGCGCGCAGAACCCTCGCCCGAGTTCTGTGGTCAGTATGCGAGGGCTACCGAGGGGTGAACGACCTCGGCCAAAGAAGCTAGTTCGAATTGGGACCCTGAACGTGGGGTCGCTTAAAGGGAAGTCTCGAGGGATTGCCGATCTCGTCCCAGAAATATCAAAGTCCTATGCCTTCAGGAAGCGCGTTAGAAAGAGGCGAAGGCCTGCAAGGTTGGGGAAGGGATCACTCTTCTACAATGGAGGGGACACAATTGAAGTGAATGCCATGGCAGGCGATACAGTGGATCGGAACGTGTGACGACGTCTACCAAGAGCAGCGTACCCTGCGACGGCGTGGAACTAATGCTAGAGAGAAGAAGAAAATTCCATGCAACACGTTTTGCTGGACTGCAGTCATTAGTGATTTCTGTCCCTTTTGACTATATCAACCTGTTGCTTGTTCCTGCCACCACCTGCAATCGCACCATGAGCTGTTGAGATATTACGTGCATTGTGTGCTTGTGTGTTTATCTTCTTGTTTATCTTCTACAATAGTGTCTTATTCATTTTTTTCCATTTTTCTGTGCTTTCATAATAATTTTCAGGCAGGATATTCTTGATGAGAGACGTCGAATAGCCCGTCTTTGTTGGAAACTGCGTACAATGAGTACGGAATGCGTACATGAAGTCCCCTGCAGCACACCATCGGCATTCAGTCCTTTGCAGAGAGCTAAGGATGAAGAATCCGAAGAGGTGCTTGTTTGTCATAGTCGAGTTAAATCTTGGAAGCTCATGTTCCTGGACAACACTTGCCAATAGTGGGAAATTCGAGCTATTGACGATACCTTCATTGTATCAAAGTAGATGGCCATCCATCGTCCATGTACATTCCTTGTTTCAGGTGTGGCGTGAGCGTTGTGAGCTGGAAGAAGCCGCACGAGCCGCCTTAATCACGGAAATTGTTCGTCTAAGGAATGACTGTGCCAATCTTCGAGCCAAAATTGAGCATTGTGGTCAGCTTCAGGTATCCGCCAGCACGAGGTTCTGATCAGGCATAACGTTCGCATTCATAATAACGTAGCCTAGATCATTTTAATCAGTTAGGGCTTTCTGTGATTTTGACAACGTACGGTGACATCGATCAGTTAGATTGCAGGGTACTGCTTTTCACATAGGACTTGTGTATTTCTTGTTAGGAAGTACTAATGCTCTGGTTACGTTCTCATGTGTGCCTTGTCCCTACGCACTGGTCTGTAATGTTTTGTGATGTCTGTAAATACACTTTTTTAGGGTGACAAATGCGCGGACGTAGGGACCTAGTAGTCAAAAACATGCAAATGCATGAATCAAAAAAAGATAAATATCAAAATGATTGTAATTGTTAACTATGCTTGCTTGATGGGCCTGTACAATAGCTTGCGGGGCTAGTTTATGTATGTCCTGGCTGTGCTTGTATCTCCTTAGTGCCTGCTACCGAAAAATCAACCAGCGGAAACAACTCTTTTCTGGAGCGAATGAAGTTCGATTTCCGGACCATGCGTGTTATAGGGCCTATTCCTGCCGCCCCCAATTTCGAGTTGCCCGCAGTAAGCATCCCTAAATCGTGTCTAGGAAAAGGATGTGTGTGTGTAATCGGCATTCCCTCCCCCTCCCCATTCGTGTGCCAGCTTTTGTGTTTGCTTATCGGTCTGTGAAATACTAAGGGTTCACTCCATTAGAATGCAATTGTCTCTCTTGTCTGCGCTGTCTTTATTGCCTCGACAACGTCTTGTGGCCACTATTACTTCGCACGTTTCAACTTTTCCTATAGGTACTTTGTTCAGTGTTCTCCAGGTCACTCCGCCGCTTGGGAAAGAGTTTTGCTTAGGAAAGAGTCTCAACATTTCGCGGATTACCCCTTTCAGGAGGTTAGGGTGTAACCCGAGCTTTCTGCTGGTTGTCTATCAGTGCTTCATCCATTTTTTATTCCTGGTAGCTGAGCTTTTTAGTTTACTAATTTTGAACCTAATCGAATTTTCACATAATTGCTAACTAGAATTTCTGAAGTTCTATCTCTCCGAGTGAATATTTTTTGTTTCGAAAATCTATACGAAGGAATATTATGATCTAGTTGTGGGCTGTTCTATCTGTGGTATAAATTTTCACTTTTCTTGTTCATCTCTCACCCTCGTGTGGTTCTTCCTTGAGGTACCTCATGCATCTTTAACATACCGTCAACAATACTATTATCGATCGCATTACCTCTAGTGGGTCATCTTTTCGCTCCAGAGTGATGTCTTTCAATAAGCCGAAGAAGAAGATCCAGCTTAGAAGACGTGTCGATGATGAAGCCAGCGATGACGGTTGGTTGCGTTTTGTGACAGCTTCTAGATTGATTTTCACTGCTTCAGTTACTGGAGAAGTGAATATGTGCGAGTGTTGATGCTAAACATTTAAGGACGAGCGCGGCTGCAACGTACTGCAGTCAGGGCAGGCCATTACATTGTGTGAAATTCCTTGTTTTGAGCCGGTGAAAAGGACGGACCAAAATTTAACAAGTTTAAAGCGTAAGGGGAGAGATGAGTGTGGTCGATAACAGTGACCCGTTCCGAATGTTCGTCACTTTAAACTGCGTCGGCCATGTGGTAGTGGACGAGGATGCTGTTTTCACGACTGTTGTCGTCTCTCCAACGTGTACCCACAATCTGCCGTACTTTGCCCAAAGAGTTATTTGGCCCTAGGTCGAATAGAGTCGCAAATCAACCTTGACTCACCCTCATAGATAGTAGACGTTGGCGTGAGCGCTATTTCATTTCACATTTCAATAACTCCAATCGCAAAAAAAAGTTGCAAGCTCAATCGCGCGCTTTTTAATAGTTTTACATACAATTTTTAAATTGCACATGAAAACTTTGTTTGCTCAAATCAAGTACGCCTTAAAATGCTATTCCAAAAAATAAAGTTTGTTGATTAGATTCGTTACCGGGACAGAATTTTGAAGATTATTGCGATGCGGCATGCCGCTGCCACTCTGATATTGGACCGGTTTTTGATTTTTGAAGTTTCTAATGCTTTGCGATCCAGCTTTGGAAGAAGATCACACTTGTCTGAGTGTTCGCTCTTTTCTTCCATTTCTTTTTTAAAACTCTCAAAAAACCTGTGTTATTCCACTTGAGAACTTTGAAAACCGGTCCAATATCAGAGTGGCAGCGGCATGCCGCATCGCAATAATCTTCAAAATTCTGTCCCGGTAACGAATCTAATCAACAAACTTTATTTTGGAATAGCATTTTAAGGCGTACTTGATTTGAGCAAACAAAGTTTTCATGTGCAATTTAAAAATTGTATGTAAAACTATCAAAAAGCGCGCGACTTGGGCTTGTTCCGTTTTTTTTTCCGCGACTGTAAGAATACAGTACATGCCGTTTTTCTCTAACAACAACATCCTAAATTGTACGGCAGAAGTTCTTCGGGATTGTTCGGAGAAGTTCAAATCTCACAGTTAGCAGTATCATTCGCTTCGTGTAACAATCATGTCTCTCAAAAAATTTAGAGGACACTCGTCGAATAAATGATATCAGAGAACTGCAAAAAGCACGAGAGAAGAAGAAAAATGGGCTCACTTTCACATTAACACGAGAAGTGTCGGAGGCGTCTCGTGAAAAGTGTACGAACAACAGTCGTGATTTCGACGTCCAATGATGTAATGCATTGCGTAACTGCCTCTTGATTGATGCCGTTGAAGAGATATATAGTCATATTTGTTTGCATGCGATTCATTGCAAGCTGAAGAAGAGAATCCGCTATAGTCTTTCTTATAACTATCGCCCGTCTGTACCTTTATAGTGAGCAACTTCGACGGTAACCACATTTATGCAACAGAAGAGAGCTCAAGTTGGATTAACGAGAAGCTGTCCCCTCGCGCAGAGGGAGGGCATAGGTGCAGGCTGGGAGGAGGTATATTCGACCGGAGATGGAAACAGCGGGTATTTACGCACCAATACAGTGGACGCATTTAAACCAAGCAAAGTTCTATAGTTGCTTGAAGGGCGTGTGCATACACCACTGACACTAGCGCAAAAAGTGATAACTTCAGATAGAAATTGATACGTACGAAGACACTTAAGATCACGCGTCCACTGCTTGCGCAGCACATCACTAATATATCTAATTCACCACCTTCATGTTAGTCTCACGCTTCACCCCCAATCTATAACCGGGGTGAGATTACGTAAGGTCTCAGCTATTTCTCCCCCGCTCAAAAAACGTACAGAGCCGAGGCGATATTTTGAGCACAACTTGTTCGCAACGGTGAGCACGCGTAGTTTATAACATCACTGAGCTAATGAACGTAAGTACTACTTCAGGATACAAGCCTACTTGAGCGTAATTCGTTAATCAGACACTATGTAATGTGTATAGCAGAAAATATGAATACTCCATGCGCGAATAAACAAATGAATTAATCAAAACTCGTAGTAAAAAAACAAGAAGCGTTCACGAATGAAAAGTCTGTGTGATTGTTGCTCTAACTCAAAGATCCGAGAGTTCAGTAAGTCTCTATCTCTTCTTTTCTTCGGCGAATACTATTTTCCTGACCATGAACCCCCATTACATTAACGGAATGCACTATATGCATTTGCTTTCGCGTGCGATGAGCGTCTTCGAAGAGTCCACTACAAGCAGCTTACAGTGCCGTTTTAGCAGGCCAGTGGAAAATAAACGATACGGAAGTTTATCGAGTAGCCAGTCCTAGACCGGTCCAACGTCGGGCCCGTCAAACATAGTCTAAAACAGTTATGAAAAAGCAACGGTGCTTGTTCTTCGGAAGACTGTTTATGAAAAATATCATATAAAGCGAGCTGTTGCGGAGCTGGCTACTGGTAGTGGTGGAATAAATACGCTAGTGGACTGTCTGAGTCGAGCTTCGCTTGTAGCTTCACAATGAACGATAAGCGCACCGAAAGAGGACAGCTCCAACAAATCAGCGACCCAACGTACGGAAGAAGCGGGGGACGGAGGACTATTGTCATCAGAGGTAATGGAGTAGCACTTTCCGAGAGAGCCGACACGCTTAAGGCATTTCATGATGGAATAGAAAACGTTCTGGGCGACCATTCGTCCAAAGCGTTGGAGGCACAGAGGAGCGCAGCCATGCGTAATGACAAAGTTTCAAACCGTGCCATATGACACCTGGCAGCATCTCCACGATCTCGATTGTCCTGTAACATCCCCCCTTCCGATAAAGATCTCAAGAGGTACACTTCTCTGGTCAGGCAAAGTTCAATGATCGTGGATGAAGTTTTTATATTATGATTGCTGCCGTTTTACGCCGCAATCGCGTTCTGAAAGTTATCACAAGAATGCTGAGTTGTGAGCAAAAGTCGTGCACCAGACGGGAGTCGAACCCGCACCTCACGCTTTCCGGGCGAGCCATTACGCCTCGCGAACGCCTTTTTTGAATCCGAGGTCATTGCCAGGTGTAGGCCGGAAGTGACACGGCACCACCTCACACTACATAGTTCAGGTAGTGAGACATCCGTTTAACTTTGCGCATGACCACCTCGATATGGTAGTACGTTCTGGAATAGACAGAAGCATACGAACTACCAGAGGCACACAGTTGCGAGTTGCAAAGCTTGACTTAACCTAGATGCAGAAACACTCGCGAGCGGCGATATTCTATGGAGCCTTTACCGCCTGTGCGTAACGGCTCGCTCGGAAAGCGTGAGGTGCGGGTTCGACGCCCGCCTGGGGCACGGCTTTTGCTCACAACTCGGCATTCTTGTGATCGTGGATGAGTTTCTTCTAAGTCCAACTCAACAGAACGACTCTTACGAAGATGGCTGCTTTTAACGAGAGTCGGGGTTTCCCACGACCGTACACAACGTTCTCCATCGCGCTCCTACGCAGCTCTGTCGCTACGACCTAGGCCGCTGGTGGGGAGAGGAGTTTGCGTCGTCCTCAAGCATTTAATTTACAAGCAATTTTGAGATTCTGGATACCTGTGTGATCCCAAACTTAAAATCTTGTAAAGGCTAGCAGTAAGCTGTTGCTGCTGCTGCATGA